CATGCACTGAATACCTGTAACAAGAATCAGGAGTTGAGCCCTGTGATCCAATGCCATTAAAGAACTTTAAAAAACACGTGACAAACACGTGACCTTAATGAATTGTACGACACGGTCATGTGATACTGATCAGTAGATAACTTGCTTGGCCAATCGGTCAGTATAAAACATGGACTGCGGACTGCGGACCACGGACTGCGGACTGGGTATAAAATACGGACTAGGTATAAAACGCGGACTCCGGACTGAGTATAAAACACGGACTGGGTATAAAACGTGGACTACGGACTATGTAAATAAAAACAGCTTTAGAAAGGTAAAACTGAGAGAAATGGAAAGCGGACTAGCAAAAACAGTAGTCCCAGCTTTAACATTACCTTGGCTGTTCACGTAGTCTATTCTTCCCACGGAGAAGGAAGGTTATGCCGGTACTCAAGGCAATTGAAATTTTACTCTGAATTTTATGAAAAGAAGGAGTTAGAAGAGATTTCAATTTGCAGTTTTAAACCAATAAGAAGCACCGAATTAAAAAAATGGTATTGGTGTTAGTCAGATCAGTAAAATTCTTATCGAATGCCACAATTCCGTATGAGGACTGAATGAAGAACTCAGACGAGAAGGTCAATGTAGGGCATTCCGCGATGCACAAAAGCGGTATTTAGGGGGGAGGGATTACTCACATACGTGAATATTAACCGAAATGAGTCATCCAACGTTATATTCCAAGCGATGATTATGATGACATGATTTACACCCTGCTCCTGATCCCCGGAGGGGGGTAGTACTGGGAATTCTTGGCGGGGGGTGGTGCCGGTTATCCGAATCCTGACCTTATTGCAGACCAAAAAATGCTATTTTCCACACCCATTTTCAGACCAGATCTCTAAAATCCATACCCATTTTCGGACCTGGCCTAATTTAGCCTGTTCCAGGTTCTCAGATAGTTGGGGAGACTCCCCAGTTTTTTCCCGTTTTATTTTCGTGTTCGCGCTTTCACAATTTAGCGGACCCAGCTATCTCGGAGCCTGGAACAGGTTAGGTATAATTAGGCAGAAATTATGTCATAATTACTAAGTTAGAGCGGAAACAAAACAAAAAATTCCCCAAATGCATTTCGAATTCGCACATTTCTATTTCGTTCTTATTCATTTGGAATTGAAACGATAAATACGTCCATTCATGTATGCTCCCGTAGTTCCCTCGAAAAACCATACCCGATTCCAGACCAAAATGGGCAAAGTGTTTTCAGACCAAAAAGGCCCAAAACCCCTACCCTTCCCTTACATAAGGGAGTACCCCCCCTGATCCTGGCCCTTTCATGATTGTTAGAGACCGAGACGAGGTCTAAAAATGAGTGAAGAAAATAGCATTTTGATCTGGCTCATGATTCAGAGAACCGGGCGGCACACCTCCACCAAGAATTCATGGGAGTATTTACAACTTTAATTCACGTGTCTTGCTATTTAGCGATCTTTTGATCTTATTTTTCCTTACCTAGAACCAATAAGCACCGTTTTTACCAAAGTAGTCCGTAGCCCGTATTTTATACCCAGTCCACAGTCCGCAGTCCGCGTTTTATGCCTACGGCTAGTCCATGTTTTATACCCAGTCCATATTTTCCAGTCCGCGTTTTATACCTAGTCCGTATTTTATACTCAGTCCGCAGTCCGTAGTCCGCAGTCCGTGGTCCATGTTTTATACTGATCGCTTGGCCAATCGCGTTTACGGCAAACGGCAATCGTGAATATGTACCACGTGACCAAGGTTTCCCTTAACTTGTCGTTTACTGTTCATTTTAACTGCACGGAAATCAGTAGATTCACACCAGTTTTATACAGAAGAATTGTTTGAGCCGGTTCTTACATGCTCATTTTCTATTTGAGAATTTCTCAATTTGCCGTTTGCCGTAAACGTGACTCTTAAGGTATTTACTAATGAAACCTTCCACCAACACAAACGCAATAAAAAGTGTAGGACTCCCCTTCCCTCCTTTCCCAGATTCCCCCCTCTCCCTCACAGGCCCCAGAGTAGGTGCGGCTAAAACAAAAAAAATTACTCGCATCGACAGTTGGCCCCGTTTAATCAAGCATTGGATAGCGCTATCTACTGGATAAATCACTATCCAGGGGGGCTTATCAACAGCAAAATAAAAGGACTCAGTAATATTACCAACATTTTTAAATAGGGTGCACTTGTTTGCTGAGAACGTTGAATTCAAGCTACTCAGATAAGGTTCTTATTAAAACCAAAGCGCTCAGTGTGCAAAGCGTACGCAGCATAGTCCCATATAGCTAATTATAAGTGGATTTGGTAACCAGGCCCCAAATGTTCAAAGGTGGATAGCGCTATGCTCTGGATAAATCTCTATCCGGTTGATAGTGCAATTGGGTTTCATGATACTTATTGCTTCCCAGTGCTGAATTCAAACAAAATTTCAAGTCGAAAAGAGTCATTTTGAGACATTAGACTTAAATTATTTGACAATTAAATAAACTGTTGTTGTTGTTGTTATTGTCGTGAAGACAAAGGAATACAAAATTTGTTGCCATTTTGGAATATGTTGGATACATTTTACTTCTGAGGTCAGCATGGCTGGACCAGCGAGTGGATGCACAAGTCCATTCGTCAAGACACCCCCTGGAACGTCTGCTGCCCCTATGGTTATCACAGGAGCACCTACTTCAACTGGACCTGGTAAGGAACCAAATATGTTTTGTTTGTGGCAAATCGGGTAGCGGATATCTGCTCATCATTTTACGACTTGAGAAGTATCAAACTGCAACATTAAAAACGACTTCAGTGAAACAGTTAATCGTTTGTTCCATATTATCTTTGTTTCCACCATATGAAATCTGTGAGACCATGTAACGTTGCAGTACATGTTTTTCGCGCCATGTGAATATCTGGATCCGGTAAGATTTAAACACGACGTGAACTTTAGCGGTGCACGGTCCCACGTATGCATGGCTTTTTAATTCCATAATGTCAATTATAAACACTTATAAATGTGACGGGGATGCTCGTGGGAAAATTATACCGCCAAGGGAGATAGGCCTTTGTATATTATGCCTTTTGTTTCCCCACTAAAATGCTTGGTCGCCTCTCCAAAAGTCACTAAAATGCTCGATAGAGCTCATCATAGAGAGGCCTTTTTATAAATTGGAAATGTTCTAAGGCTAACAAAAATGAATAAATATAAGTGGTATGACAACAATGGATACAAGTACATAGTCTCAATACAGCAAAAAACGATCATATACAATGCTGCATTAACGTGAAATTTGATTTTATTTTGAAATTTAATTTGGTGTGAAATCGTCATTTACTCTTTCAAAATGTTTCAGTTTTTATTTTCTGCGAGAGAAAAACCTGAAAAACCTAATTTTCCGGGAAAAATTCCACTAAAATGCTCAAAAAATGCAAGCTAAGCATAACGTCAAAAGGCCCAAAGGGAGACCAATGTGGGTGTGGCTCAAGCACTGACTTCTAAAGGAGACCATACTAAAAGAGACATCCAAATAAAAGCTAGGTATCTAAATAAGTGCAAGGGATATCGTGTTCTTTTAGATTTCTGTGTGTTCTGTGTCACGGCATTTTTTGTAAATTTCTTTATGCATAGCCTTACAGCTTAAACGATACCTAAATGGGCAAATATTATGACTTTGCGTCCCCAAATCTGCAATTTACACCCCTAAGGGAGACGGCGAGCATCCCCTTATTCATCCCCTTATTTTTCATATAAATGAAAGTTCACAAATATAATCACATAATGGTAATGTTAAGGGAATGAAACGAGTCACGATCACGGAGAAAGGTCTCATGCCTTAGCCAGGGTAGCAAGATGAGCCTATTTTGCATTAAACAGGGTCAGGTTTTACAGGTCTTGGCAGCACACCTAAACCGGAACTTTGAAGGAGCTAGTTCTAGGGCGAGATGCATTTGTCACTCTTCCAAGGAAAATCCTTAATTTTTCAACCTCTTCCCCTTGTTTAGGATTACATAGACAAAAAAAATTCTATAAAGTCTATTGGGCTTATGCTTCGGTCCATTTTAATGCCACGTTTAAGTGGGTAAACCTGTGCTTGTAACGACCGTAAGGTGGGGAGAATCGCAAGCGCATTGAGACAACCACTGCGGTATACTAAGCCGATGGCTGTTACTGATCTTTCGCCTTTACTATGAATAAATACTTTTTAAGTGTAACTCACTTGCAAGGTCTAAGTAAATTGTACTACGGTCCAACGTCTACCGAAGGACGCCTCTCAAATGTGGGCGTACAACTCTTAGGCACAGCTGTCATTAAGAGGCGGGGGCGGGGGATTTTCCCCCCGGCTACTAAGAACGTGTTCCCCGGCTTTTTACATAGGAAAACAGAAGAAAAAAAGAATCAAAAGAAGTCCCCAGCTGTTTGCTTCCCAGCCTACTTGTTGTATTTACCTGGCAACTTGAAATCTTAGTGACAGCGCTGCTTAGGTCTCCTGAAAGATGGCCTGAGATGGAAACTAGTACCGGAATTCCTGTGGTTATATGATGCGGACAGCCCTTTAATGCGGACACTTGTTGCGTTTCTCCCTTTTGTGTCCTTACAACAAACAAAAGCAACCTTTAATCGGAGTTAATTTTGAGCATATTTTTGGAGTTTTCCCAATAGGACGAGCCAGTATGTGCTCACTGTGCTTCAATGTATTTCAGTTAGCAGTTTTGACCTTGGAGAGAACCAAAAGAGATGGGTTGTGATCGGGATTTGCTTGAACAGACTGCTCTTACCAGTCCTCCGAGATTTTGTGGGTCAAGAAATACCCAAACACTATGCGTCCCTAAAGAGTGCACACAGGATTGACACTCAGCTCTTTGGAAGTCACTTGGCTCAAGATGGAGCATTTCCGCTGAATTATGGAAGCATCAACAATAACTGGGGCAACTTTAAGAAAAAAGTGCGTTCATACGATTACAAAGTTGGAACAGCTGAGGAATTGGCTAAGCTTTATCTTGAGCCACACATGACCAAGTTTACAGGTACACAGTCAATGTTATAATAACTAAGGAATAAACTAAATATAGCATATTCTTGCTGTTCAGGAGATTAGACTACTGTACATGCATGTCTCTAAGAAGTAGTTTAAAGTGGATAAATGTGTCGTTCGTGTCGCGTATTTACTCCATTTTAACACGCGTTTAATTTAACCCTTTCACTGCCAGTTACTGCCAGAGTGAATAATGGAGTTTTGTAAGGTGGTTCTAACGTTTGACTCTGTGGAGGAAATCCTGTGATGTGACCATTCAAATGAAACCTCTCTACCTGTACTTTCACATGGTCCAAAAAGAAATTTGTGAATTTTTGTTGAATTTTGCCCTTGGCCATATTTGGCAGTGAAAGGGTGAAGTAAAGAAAGAGATCTGTGGCTGACTCAAATTTTTATCCTTTTGTAGGATTTGATAACACATGCGACCTATCAGCAGTCCTGGGAATTCTGGAGAGAGCGTCCACTTTTTCTGCTTACATTCAAATAAGTGCCAAGGATATGCGATCTAATGTGAGAAATGAGTGGGGACACTGTAACTTTGACCACTGGACGGATCTGGAGTTTCTACATTGCTTTCAGGTGATGGAAACAATGGTTCGTTCATTGGGGCTTCCAAAGGCTGATGAACAGAAAACTCTTGACGAAATTCGTGACTGGGAAAAGAAGGGTACGTAATTTAAAAGTGGTTGTTTAGGGTATTTCGACCGCAGGTACAAGTTTCAATTTCCTTCCTTTTCCTCAAACACATACCAAATTAACACAAAGGGCTTTAATTCTATGAAGGAATATGCCCGTCTGATACTGATGTTGTAAAACTAGGTAAAAGAGAAGTATAAGGAATTGATTTTCTCTGTTCCGTTGCTTATATTTGAAGAGTCATCCGACTGGAAGTTTAGCTAAGTTTATTGCTGCAGCAACCATGAAAAAAGGAAATGCACTAGTACTAATTTACTATGGGGTCATTCTTGACAGGTTTGAACCTGTGCATGGGTTGCCCGGTGGATAATGATTTGATGAAGTTTATCAGCGTAGAAGTTACCAACTTAGAAAAAGAAATAGCAAATATAAAGCAGTACAGCAGTGATGACGCCAACAAAATAACTGCTGCTCTTCAAACAACCAGAGACGAAGTTGATAAAGTTCAAGAGCGTATAACTGACATTGAGAAGCAAATGGAGACAGACCGAAAAGAACGGCTTGAAAAACAGGAAGCCTTGTCGAGTGACATTGAAGATATTTCTAACACGTTAGCAAAATTAGATACACGCGTAGATGTTAATAAAGAGGACGTTTCTCAGTTGAAAGAAAAACAAAGCGGTTTAAAGACTACGGTATCGACTATAACAGACGATCAAGCTCGTTTAACTGAAGACATGGGGGCTTTAAAAATGGAGCACAGTCAGTTGGATGCTAGGGTTAAAGCGCTAGAAAATGGCAGTTTTAAGACTACAAATGCAAAAATTTTTCAAGTGCCGAGCCGGAATCGTTGCTTTTGTGGTCGCGATAGGGAGCTAGAAGCAATTGCAGCGCAACTAAAATACAGCCAAAATGGTTGTATTCATTCAGCTATTTGTGGTCTAGGTGGCGTTGGGAAAACGTCTCTCGCTGTAGAATTTCTCTGGCAACAAAAGGGAGAATATCCAGGGGGGATTTTCTGGATTTCGGGCGAAAATAATGATCTTTTTCAAAGGTCAGTCTGTGAGATGGCACGTCGAATTGGAACGTTCGAAAACGATTTCGACAACTCCTTGTCGAGTACCCTTGAATGGCTTGGAAAACGCGAAGAGTTGTGGTGCTTAGTGGTCGATAATCTTGATGAGTTAGAAATGTCCAGAGAGATGCGAAAGCTGCTCACTGGCCACTGGAAACATGTGGCTCGTGGACACATCATCATAACAACAAGAAGAGAAGTTTCAGAAGTTGGAGAGGACACAGGAATTGATGAGCAGTGTTGTATTGACTTAAAATGCTTAACAGAAGAAGAAGGCATTTATTTCCTACGAAAGCGAACAGGTAAGGATGAGGGAGAAGACAATGACTTACGTGAGCTAGTCAGAGAACTGGGAGGGTTGCCCCTAGCTCTTGATCAAGCTGGTGCCTATATACGGTGGGTTAAACAGTCTGTAAAAGAGTATGTGAAGAAATACAGGAAGCAGAAGCTGCTTCTCTTAAAAAAGAAAAAGGCGCAGCTATTTGTGGAAAACACCTCTCCTGAACGGCTAGCTGTACACACAACCTGGACGTTGAATTTTGATCACATCAGCCACATCTCAAAAGAGATGGAACTTGGAGAAGCTCCCATTCGTTTTATGGAGNTCTGTAAAAGAGTATGTGAAGAAATACAGGAAGCAGAAGCTGCTTCTCTTAAAAAAGAAAAAGGCGCAGCTATTTGTGGAAAACACCTCTCCTGAACGGCTAGCTGTACACACAACCTGGACGTTGAATTTTGATCACATCAGCCACATCTCAAAAGAGATGGAACTTGGAGAAGCTCCCATTCGTTTTATGGAGGTTTGTGCTTTTTATGGCCCAGATGACATTCCATACGAGTTGGTCAATGAAGGGCTGAAGGAAGATGGCAGTTCTGCAGAGGAAAGCGATCTATGGGATCAAGCTGAGATAGTATCTCTTCTTACCAAGTTTTCCCTGTTTCAAAGATTCGAATCAGAATCATTTAGTGTTCACCGTTTAGTGCAAGAAGTGATACGAAGCCAAATGGAAAAAGAACAAACTGAGTTGGTTCTCTCTCGTGCCGTATGTGTCCTTCACCACGCGCTGAAAAATACTCGCTCACCGGCTGAAGTGTGCGAACGTTTCGTTGAAGACGCTGTTTTTAGTGTGGACAATCCCCCTTCGTTGCATTTATGGGGTAAGTTGGCCTTACATTCCACGTATTTGCAGGAGCATTTGCGTAATTACTCTGCCAAGCATAAAGAGTCAGTCCATACCCTGTTGTACACTGAAGAAACCGTGCGTGTCTTCAATGAAGCAAGTATATTTTTCAGTGTTTCCCAAGAGAAAGTTAAAGCTCAAGAAATACAGAAACTGAAACTGGACTTTCTGGTGAGCATCGCTAAGGCAACCACAGAGGATGGCACCAAACCGTTCAAGTATTTCATTGACATCCCTTTAAAGGACAAAGAATACAAGCTGATATCTCTTGCATGAGGCAACCTTCCCCTGAGGATAATTCCCCGGATGTAGCTGAAACGTCTCGTATCGAGATGGAAGATAAGGCCAACCAGATCCGTGAACAAGGAAACCTTGCAGTAAATAAAGGCCAGTTCGAAGACGCTTTAGAACTTTATTCTACTGCCATAAAGTTAAAGGTTGACGATTGGAGACTATTCGCCAACCGAGCTCTTTGTTATTTAAAACTCGGCCGGCCCCAGCAAGCTTTAGAAGACTGTGAAAAGTGCCTTTCTTTGCATCCTTTAAATAGCAAGGCACTTCAACGCAAAATCTGGGCTCTTCATAACCTTGTTATCGAGGGAGCTACTCACCTGAATGGGCAAAAAAGGGCAACAATGGCAGTGGCCGTTTATTTTCATCCAAGTCTTCGAACTGAGGTAAAGTTTTGTGAAATGTTTCCAGAAGTGCGTGCGGTTTCGCCCATAGAAATAACAAATGAAATGCAGTTGAATTTTGCCCTAATGATGAAAGAAAGAAATGGAACCTTTCTGCTGCGTGAAGGTAAATATAACTTAAAGAATTTCATTGTCCTCACCAACCTTCAGGTGGTCGGTATAGGACAGCGAGTCGTTTTAAATTGTATAGAAAGTTGTGTATTGCACCAATCAAAGTGCTATTTTGAGAATATAGTCCTTCCAAAAGGTAGCAGTGGTATCATATGCCAAGGAAAGGATGCAGCTATTCACTTGAACCAGTGTGAGTGTTCAGGAGGGTTTGTAAGTTGTGAGGATACTCCAGAATGCAACGGTGGACCAGGGTGCATAGCAGCTTCTCTAGGAAAGCCGGTTTGTGACCGCACTGACAAATTTGGGGTTCAAAGTTCCGAGTCGGGTGTGGCTGGCTCTCCTGGAATTCAGATTTCGAATGGAAGCTTTGCTCTCATTGAAAACTGTGTTATTCAAAACTGCGGAGGTGGAGGTGCTCTTGTAGCTTGCGAAGGTTCTTACTTGGAGGTCAGAAAATGCGAGATTCACAGAAATCATCAAGCTGGTCTAGAAGCACGGGCAGGAGGTCAACTTTTTGCCTTTAAAAACAGGGTATTTAATAATGGTTACCATGGTATTTTAATTGGTCCGAATGCAGGAGAATGTGATGTCAATGAAAACAAAGTATTTGAAAACGCAAAGGAGGGTATTTTTGTCGGTCGCACCGAAGACAAGATAGTTCTGAGAAACAACGACGTCCATCACAACCGCCTTTTCGGTATTTCTCTCCAGGAGGACCCTCTTTTGTTGGTCAGCAACAACAGAATATTCGAAAACGGATTCTGGGGAATTCAAGCCCAGTTACGAACTTCAGCGAAAATAACCAGAAATGACATATCTGGCAACAAATGTGGTGGAATTTACATTAACGCAAATTACTCTGGACGGGTTTATCTGGACTCAAACATCGTTCGAGACCATAGTGGTCCGTGGCTACTTGGAGAATATGAAGAGAGAAATGAGTTTTCCGTTGAAACTAGCTTCCTGAGCAATATACGAGGCATTACACCTCCTCCAAGAGGGGAAAAGATTGTTTATTGCAACCCACCTATCCTCTATGGAAACAAGGAATTTAAAAACAAAGAAGGTATATATCACCCAAGAGAGGTAGTTGAGCGGTTGCACGATGTCTGTACATTTTGTCGTGGCACAAGACATGGAGGAAAGGATCTCATTAAGTGTTCAACTTGTCAGATTGCATCATATTGCTCAAAAGAATGCCAAAGTCGGCACCTCCATGCACATAAGGCATTGTGTAACGCCCTAAAAAGTCGATATTCCATTACGTTCGACGAAACATTGTTACGGAATCGGTGCGCGCCAATATTTGGTATTCATTTAAAAGGCAGTGGAACAGGTTCTGAACTCAAACTCAACAGTCGCGAAAAATTTATCATCAAGATTCAAAACCTAAATCACAACGGCCATCCAAAGCAGTTGCTCCATCTTTATGACAAGAGTCGAACTCTTGAATGCGACATTCAGAGCCCAGAAATCTTCAACATAATAATGGAATGCGGTGTCCTTGGAACTTTGAGTAAACATACAAGCAAAAAGGTGTTCTTCTGGGCAAGGTTCGCTGAGGGAGGGAAGAAACTAACAATTTACCTTGATCAATTAGCTCCGTATCAGGAATGGTAATAGAACAAGGCATCAACGTCCTTTAAAAGGAGCATAAGGTTGCTCCTTGAAAAAGACATTAGAGACCTTACGATACCCCGATATCGGTGTACGGGTACGGGTAGTGTACCCGTACACGTAAAATGTTCATGTGCGTCACTATTTCGATTAAGATACCCGAAGAACAAGCACGCAAAATTAACTTTGTACATGCATGTCGCTTAATGCATACAAAATCTCACTCAAATTCTACCCTTCATATCTTAACAACAAGCTGCAACAAATAATTCATTCATACATAAGCTTATTGAAATATCACAGAAAGATTTTAAGAAACTTGGCGGGAAGTCCCTCGACCGAAAGCTTGTTATCGCAAACCCCGCCATTTTGATCGAGGCACATCACCAAACAATTCCTTTGATTGTCAACTTCAACAGTGACTCCCATGCTACAATAAAAAAAAAAAAAAAATTCGCGAAAGGGAAAATTAAATGAAAAAAAATTCTTGCAAGCCATTTAATCCTAAAAAATGTTCATGCTATGGCCTAAAAAAAATTCATACGAGGAATTTGATAACGAAAAAAAATTCCTGCGGCTCGCAAATTCCCCTCCCCCCAATAACTTTTCTAATGGTCCGTCCCTAAGGGTAAGGAGTTCAAGATCTTTGGTCTCACTCTCATAAAAGAACGATGCATTTGTTCAAGTCCTGAGTGTTCGGTGAAGTAGTCATCGTCTTCCCTGCTAGCAGAGGTCTCTCATTTTTGCCTCGCCGTGAGAGACCTCTGCTAGCAGGGAAGTCATCGTCGAGAGAAGAACGGTAAAATATGAGTTCACAACGGAAATCCGTATAAGACGCTAGTAAAACTGTTAGGTACAGAGGTATTAGCAAATTCTTTCTAATCCATATTGTAATGTTAACAAATTAATTCAATGTAATTTTTATTTCACGGCAGTTGGTAATGTTTGTAAAATATTTTTATTGTTAAAGAATTAATTCAATGTAATTCTTATTTCACAGCAGCTGGTAATGTTTGTAAATATTTTTATTGTTAATAAATTAATTCAATGTAATTTTTATTTCACGGCAGCAGGTAATATTTGTAAAATATTTTTATTTTTCTTCTTTTATTGCTCCTTCCCCCGCCTCGATTACGTTTTCTATATGCGGGTGGAAGTCACTGTAATATTAAAAATCGCGTAGAAATAAAGATTGTTGTTTAATTTTGTTTTTTGTTTCTTTGAGGCCAACTGGAATTATGCTTGCTGTTCAATTTTACTATTTGATAACCAAAGTGGAAGAAAATCCGCATTGTCAGGCAATGGAGGTCAAAAGAACTTGGAGGAGCTAAAAAAAATCTGTCCACGTAATTGTTACAAAGGACTTTGCTCCCAACGATCGGCTTTGGATTCATCCCTTTGTTCCCCATTTCCCAATTTCCCAAAGCAATAGGTAAAATAGTCAAGGCGCAGCTATGTCCGTTTTCAAACCTCTAGAAAATTTCCCTTTCTGTGCATGCTCGAAATTCCGAAGCTGTCACTTACAGACAGCGCAGTGTTCGACAAAATTAATGTAACCAACGTGTTGGACAATCTTGCATCGTTTTGACGAGTTCGTGATCGGACTGACTAGCTTCATATGGCATTTCTCAGCCAAATTGGTGGGAGTGAATAGCTTGAATTGTTTTGGCATGAAACGTTTCTATAGTGTACTGCGCGCTCTTTTTTGATCTAAATAGATGCACTCACTTGCTGCAGTAACTTTTTTTCCTACACCGGGAGCACAACTTCAATTCCTTTTTCTTTACATTCCTTTTGCAAGCCTTATTTCCACACCTGGTGGTTGGGAGATTGGTGCATAGCTGGTAAAGAAAGATTTTAAGAAACTTGGCGGGAAGTCCCTCGACCGAAAGCTTGTTATCGCAAACCCCGCCATTTTGATCGAGGCACATCACCAAACAATTCCTTTGATTGTCAACTTCAACAGTGACTCCCATGCTTCTCTATTGCTTCAGCTGTACTTCAGGTGTTTTTGTTGGGGGAGGGGGGAGGTCGGGTAGCATTGCTGAGACAGGTCTAGCTTTGGCGGCTGTGTTGTGGTCTTATATCTAAAGCTACCCGGCCGGATGTTGTGAGTAAATATCATTTTCATCAGAAAGTACACTCAAACATGACACAAATTACATTGAAAAAGAAGATCCTAGCTGCATGGGCTTCGAACCTGTTGCGATCACAAACGTCTCCGTTTATTTGAAAATTTCTATCTTAATTATTCACCAAAAATAGCCGTAACATAAAGTAACGGTGGGTAAACGACTTATAAACGTATCCAAGTAATTTGGCAAGCAGCTGAAGCAGGTTCTAATCGTAAATTTAAAAGGCTTATAGACCTTTGTCACGCGGCGGCCACTTTGTCTCAAGAGATTTAAAAAGCTTTGTTTATGCACGGCTAGCCTCTTTCTCTCTACGAAGCTAGCCGTGCATAAACAAAGCCCTTTTATTTTTCTCGCGGTTTCGCCGCTCGTTCTCGCGCGCTTCGCGCGCGAATTTCGCGACTACGCCGCTCGTGCGCCCGGCTCGACAAAACCGCCATGCTACGCAGGCTATTCCCTTAGAGAATTCGACGCACGTCAACCGCGGAAGTAGACCTTTTCCATTCATAGACAGTGGTTTCCTTTTCCACCAAATCGTCTCTATTAGAGTAAAAAAACTTAGCAATACAAAATTGGTAGCCTCACGGAATATAAAAAGAGAAAAAGGCTCACTTCCGGTTGACGTGCGCCGCTCAAAAACGCTTTTTTTTTCCCTGTTTTTTCAACCGAAGTCAAGGCGGCCACGCTGGTAGACAAAAACAAATAGCAAATTCTACGAGGAAAAATGTTAATGCTTTGTCGATTAAGAAGGCTGCCTTGTCACGTGGTTGAAAACCAGCGATAGCCTTTATTGATTTTAATCTTTTACATCTTTTCCGGAGGCATTAATTTTAGCAGCTAGGTTTCTCACATCTAAGGGACGGACCATTAGAAAACTTATGGGGGTGGGGGGGGGGGGGGGGGGGG